TATTATATTTCTGTTACAACTTATATCAATACAATTATATTGTTTTAAAAACAATATAATTGTCTATGCCAACTTTAACTTTTTATATAATCCATTGCAAACACTTTAGAGACGTAAATTACCGTTTTTATATGTATAATCATTATTATATATTTAGATTGTGTCGATATATTAAACGTCCCCAAACCGTAATAATCTGGGCCATTCATCGCCAGTGTGCCGTGTCAAAGTGACTGCCCGCCAAGAATCCCGCATCAAAATTATATATCCGCTCAATGTTTGATATAATATAGTATATATATTTATTATTGTAAGGTCACTGTGGCCTCCAGTAGTACTGGAGTAGGAATAAGAAGTATGGCGGAAGAATATACGAATAAATCATTTATATTAATCCATTTAACGTTCTTTAAAGTTGTGTTCATATGTATAGACGATGGCTACCATCATTTTTATCATTCCAATTATATAAAAAAAAGTTTATTTACTATTTCTATTCTGTGCTGTAAGTCATGGCTGTGTGGGTTATGTATGCATTGCCTTTGCCCAGAAGAAACAAAAAAAAAACAAAAAATGATTTTTATTTTGGCGCCAATTATAATGAGAAACTATTCACAGAGTAATTAACTACTAGGCTTTAAAACTATTTATAACACTTAACTGTATGAATGTAATAAAGTCACAGCATGAAATTAATGATTGAGCACTATTCGTATTTGAAAATTAATTACAAATGTGCGAAACCGCCATATTGGTCCTAGAATATAAAGCACCCTATTTCGTTATAGCAAATACTTGTAGTGTTTGCTTCTTAAGTGAAGATATTATTACAATTTCTGTACTGCAGTATTATTTTACTAGCCTAATTTTTTTTTAAACTGGAATGATAAATAGAGCCTCAAACTGTTTGCTAGACTCACGTCAGGTATTCAAAGTAATTATTGACATTTAATTTAATACTAATACATTAATAATAATAAACCAGAACATTTCCCATAGCGCCATCTTGTTCAAAGCTAAGCAGATCTTGTATAACACAAGATAAGATAATAGATGACTGAAATAAATACATAGATATTATACATACATACATACATAGATATTAATAAATACATAGATATACATAGATAGATATTTTGTAAATACATGCATAATATTAATAGAAAATATCCAGACGGATACGTTTGTATCGGTAATTATACTCACGAATACAAATGTTTATACCATGCGAAAAAGCGAACCCGCGACCATCGGAAATAAGATGGTTCGCCAAACCACTGCACTATTGAGTCCGTCCAACAAGAAAGGTTGTATGAACTTATTTAATTAATTTATTTGCATTCCCCATTCTTAAAACATTGAAATATTCATGTGTAATAATTTCAAAGAAGTATGTTGCGCGTTAAAAACCACATACATGTTACCACAAGGATATAAAAAAAGATATTTTATGACATAAAATTACGTCTAACGAAATCTTGTAACTCGTTTGATCTTGAACAAATTATAGGTAATACCCAACATGAAAATGGCCGCAATGTCTTTATATAAAATTACAAAATTGTAAATATAAACGTCAAACGTTATATAAGGTCGTAAATTATGTATTTCTACATAATTTGTGCGATTTCGTGGGACCAAATAATAGTTTTTACATGTTACGGAAGATGGAAGGAAGAAGGATGTAGACCGTAAAACAATAGAGATTCTATTAATTACATTATTTTTCCTTCTTTCGTTTTTCTTGCTAACTTTTTTTCACACACACATTTATGTTTCTTTTCACTAATCTTCCATTTACTTCTCCAGATCTATTCTATTGTTTTACATTTTATTTATTTATTTATATCTCTTTAATGCACACAGTACAAAAGTAACAGTACATTTGGCGGACTTAACACCATGCGGTATTTTCTACCAGTCAATCATAGATAGTACAGAGAAAAATTGTTGGCAGTGCAAAAATAATCATAACAAAAAAAAAATCAAAGCATAAAAAGTGATATAATAATATTTATACATTCTACTTCAATTTTTGTTTTTCGCGCTTACTTTCTCTCTCTCACACACATTTATATTTTTTTTACCATGAGAGGAATTAAACTTGCAACTATCGCAAGTAAGTTGCTGTGCGCTGTGCTAATCCACTAGATCACTGAAGGCGTCTTGGTTAAATAGAGTTCTAACACTGTGCCTTCTAACCCAAATTCCGATGCTACGTCTCAAATATTATACAGAAATACAAGTAAATCGAAATAATACTAAAAATATTTAACATTTGGCTCCAACATCTAAAATAAAAAACATTATTAAATTCTAAATTATCGACAATAAAACCAACTCTAGTTATGACATCTGCGCATAAACAGTCGACCGGCTCTTCCCGAGATCATTATGTGGTTTACACATAAATACTTTGGCTGATGTTATATTTATTTTATTCAGAGCATACTGTTTTTGTGCCGATTTTTACTATTAATTCGTTTTTTTATGAAATCTAGCCCATATATCTACAAGCATTATACAAAAACCTTATATAGGAACTGTTGTAACTGGCTATTCAGAAATGTGTTTTTGTTTTAAACATTGTAATTAAATTTATAATTTTGTTTACAGTCCTTCAAATAAATCTCCGTTCTTATAGTATTTTTCTTGTATTACTAATTTACTAAAAATATAGAATATATTTATGTGTCATCATCATCATCATCATCTCAGCCCGGAAGACGTCAGGTGAACAAAGGCCTCCCAAAGAGCTCCACGACGATCGCTCCTAAGCTGCTCACATCCAATGCCTTCCAACGATCCTGATACGGTCTATCCGTCCACCTCGCTGCAACCTTTATGTGTATTTTGATATAATATGTATGCATATATTATTGAATAAAATGTATTGTACTCTCGTACATTATATCTCTCATATATGTAAATTATTATTATTTAGTATTTAGTATTGCTAATATTGCTATGGCTTATTTCTATTTCTCTAGTCCATCCTTTCGCCATCTACATCTACATTCAGTCTTCTCTCCTCTACCCAAAGGTTGTCTGGAAGAGATTGCTTACGTGATAAGACGGCCTTTTGTGCCTTATTACTATCTGTTTATGTTCTTTGTAATATACTTCTGGCGCAATAAAGAGTAAATAAATAAAATTACAAGAGGACAGAATTCACCTAACAGAAGCTCTGGAATAAACATTTCTATATGGAGACATCACGTTATCATACGACGCCCGCGATACTATTCACGTGTTGCCATTCTAGACAACTAAGATGTTATGCTGTAATTTCTTATTAGAAAAAAAAATCTAAGTATTTATATCTAATATCCTGTAATTAGAAATTTAGTAAAAAAAAAACCGAATAGCTAACAAATTAAATATAGTTTTTTTTTTATTTTATATTTTATAGATGCATATAAATCGAGTCATAGAAAAACTCGATTTAAAATGTGCCACTATGCGTCACTAGGAAAACAATAGTTTTTTTTATATAAAACTATCATCCCATTTGTTTTTTATCATCGCAATTTTGAACGATATTGTTTAAGTGAGCGTGAGTATACTATGAGTTAATGTGAGTATTCATTTTGAGAGTGTTCTCTACATGTACAAGCCAAACTCATTTTAACGAAATAATTTTTGGGTGAAAATTTCCAAGATTACATAACTCTTATAAAAGAGGTATTAACTCGTATTAAACGTAATGTTAATTGCTCAATGTGAGTTGACTGTGAAAATATGCAGTCTATCTAATATTTTAAAACAATTACAGATTATTAAAATCCAATCTCACTTCAAACAAGACACTTTTTGTATTTTAATATGCCACCTCTAATTTTTAGACGAATTGCAGATTACATAACTATAGATAGGTATCGACTCGTATTAAACGTGATGTTAAGTGCTCTGTGTTTTATACAGTATTTATATATTATTTTATAGATGTATATATATTATATTTTTAGGTATTCTAATGCTGTTTTCCATAGCTGGGCTCTACAGCATCGCCGGACGAAAGAGCGCCAACAACATTCCAAATCCGCGGATTGACTTACGGAGCGGCTGAACGCGAACTCCTGCCTGACTTCAGTCTAGTGCAGCCAGGTTCGAACCCCAGCGTTTGAATGGGACTGAGGGTCCATCGGATGGGAGATGTTTTTATTATCTAAGATATAAAATACAGATAAAATTTGTGTTACGTTCTATACAACAGCCACTAACGATATATGTAATAATAATAATAAATTTTATTACCCAATAAATCACTTACATTTAAAATATAACGGCGAACGTATCTAACTACCTCATCTTAGATCACAATCTTGAGTATATTTTCGATATACCACAAATCCATAAGATCTACAAGACCTTAAGTTTATTAAAACTATAAAATTGTCAATAAACAATATTGCCATTTCAAATAATGCGTACTTAAAATAACCGTAAATTACGCAAAAAAATATCTGTGTTGAGTTCCTACATTACTATGGTCAACCCGAATACCCATTATATCGAATTTATTAGACATAAGAAAACATATTAGACGAGTTGGAAGAAAGAATAATGGCTGTGCTGAATAAGAAATAAAGACTGTTTAAATTTTCTGTGTTATGACTATAAATTGTACACTTTATTATAAGCTTTGGCTTTTTGCTTTTTAACGGGGTTTAGTAAATATTTTCACTAATTTCGACTGCACTATAAATTTGATATTAGATACATCTATATATTTTAAATGTTTATTTTTTTATTATTTTATTTCATTTAAAAATATCTATATTTCACAATCTTATGAAGAAATAAGTATGGCGTAGCATCTCTTATAAATTGCGTAGCACCGTCGTAGCGATCTATTTTACACTCATCACTTTTATAATACAACACAATTTTAATTATTCATTATTTATGTATTTACTTGAAACTATTTTGAAGTATAATCTGTGGAGTGTAAGTGTTGCCAACTTAATTTAAAAAAGAGGATTGATAAAATCTCATACTGGCGCCATTTTCATTTTTAAAACACCAACCGTATTCCAAATTCAAATTTTACCGAACACTGTTAACACTTCACTGGACACTTGGAGAAAAAAAAATATATTTTTCGATCGCGAACTTCTGCCGCACTGCGTTGGGTGCGGTGTATGACTAGTACAGCCAGAATCCAGCGCGTAGCGACATATACACGGACCAAATTTATTTATATATATTATTATAATTATGTTTATTTCCTTCAATGCTATTTCGGTCTCGATAAATTGTGACGCAAATTTAATTTCTAACGCGTTTTTATGCATTTCGTGTATGAGTTCTGTTTTAAAATAACCTAAAATATGTTAAATTTTATATAAAAAATACATACGCAATAATATTTTTATTTATATTATATTTACACTTTATACATGTGCGTTTTTTACTGGAATCTTTAATATCCATATAATTAGAGGAATATCTACCAACTGAATTTAAATAATAACTGAATAATGATTAATGAATGACGAAATATTGATATTACGTCTGTCATTCGTATTAAGATATTAATAAAATAAAATAGTGTTAAAAAGAGGAAGGACTGATCTCTAAACACAGGTTTAATAGTAGTTTAGAAATGTAAAAGGCAGATAATTAGAAATAAAGTTTATATTATTATTATTATCAATTAAAAATCCAAACCAAAATAACAGTAGGGGCCTCTACACCTTATAAGTTATAGACGCAAAGTTCGGCTAAGATGAGAAATGTATATTCTCATATTTTCATACATACGAGTAATATAAGTTAAATATTTTGTTTCAAACGGTCCGCCATTATAAAAACATAATCAATTTCTAAATTTAAAGGCTGGATTTACTGACCTTCCAAATCCGCCAATTATTTAACGCCGAGTACTGAATATAACGGACAGAATCGTGTTCCTTAATTAATTGATGTTTATATATCTGGAATTCCTTTGATACATGAAAACTGGAATGCTCTGCATGACAAATCTTTGGGTTTTGGCCAAGCTTTAGTATTTCACCTGTTACCACAGATTCCTAAAGTTTCAACGAATTGGCCACACTATTACACGGATTTACTATGACGCATGTTTCTGCTTTGAATCGTGTACGAACTTGATTATTACCTGTTATTTCCTACCCGCCAGAAACTAAAATACCATCCAGATCATCTTCATGAATGGCGGTCTTCCACCGTGCATTTTTTAGGAAACATTTATCCATGCCAGAATAACTTCCAGAAATTTCCGAATCGATATAATATTGAGACCTTCATAAGAGCCTATTCCTTCTTAAAAGGCCAGCAACTGACTTGCATTTATCCTGCTGTTGCAGGTGCCCATGGACGGCGGTATCACTTACCTTCAAATGAGTCGTAAGATCGTCTGTCCCCAAAACCATAACGACGGACAAAAATTGTTTAAAAGAATTTTTGTATGTATATTCTTTCATATGTATTTAATGAACGCTGTTAATTTGTAATTAAAATCAAACACTTTAATTTTATTAAAGTCTATTTTTCCAATATCTTGTAAATAAAGTTTCTCTCAGACGAAGTCATGGTAAACAGCTAGTATGAGTATGAAAATTTAATTTCGAAACGCACACCAAAATGCGGAGTTTCTCTCGGTATTTTCGTTCAATTTGTTTCGACTGTATTTGTTTTATGTTTTCTACGTTTGTATGAACAAGTTCTGATCATCTTTTTGCAATGGAAGACGCCGTTTCTAGTATCACTACTCCAAATTTTTTCACGTATGGAATCAGTTTATTTTATTGAAACAGAACATCAAATTAATGATATAACTATATTAATTACAATCCATTTAAATGGTAAATACATTCTCCATGCCAAATCCTTAAATCGGTCGTTTGTAAGGAAATCAAGCGAAAAACATTGGCGCCAAAATTAGACAAAAATTCGAGCACAAATCAATATCAGTCGAGACGTTACACTTAATCTTTATATATCTCCAGCCCAGGGTTACCATGCTTCAATAAATATTTACCAACTGTCATGTGTTTTCACCCACTTAGCAAAATAAACAATTCAGTCATTACCCCCCCCCCCTCTCCTATACCATATACCATTATATTAATCTTGCACATATTTATAAAGAAAATTTATCAATATATGTATATCATAAGGAGTGAACAGTAAATACATTCTTTCCCTGTTTCTTTTTTTTAACTATTCTAATGAAATTTTATTTTACAGTATGAAATAGCGAGGAAATGGAATAAAGTGGATAGAGCTTTCCAAATCTGCGGGACTTATGTGGCTTTATCAGAGACCAGCGTTTGAGGTTAGAAACTCGTCTCATTCACAACAAAAACATTACTTAATAGAATTATATTATTTTGTTTAATTCCGCTGCTAATTCTTCTAGTAATAATATTCGACGATCAAACTAGTAGCAGTCGTTTGATGGTAGCGGATTGAAACAAAGTAATATAAGTCCATTAAGTAATTTTTTTTTTTTTTATTCATTTATTTCAGGCAACTAGGCCCATATTATAAATACCTTATAGACTAACATACATATAATATAATATTTAAAAACTAATACAATAATATTGTCTGTGTGATCACGGCACTGAAGACGGCAATCTGCCACGGTAGCGCCGATACACCACACCTTTCGGCCAGTAGTCCTCTTTCATGAAGGTGGGCAGCAAGTCGGTGGGGACCAGGGCCACAAATAATGAAATGGACTTCCGCAATATAATACATAATTAACATACATACATAATTTGATAAAATATGTATATATTGCTTTTGCATTTATAAAGGAAGAGGCGCGCCGCAGCTTCGTCTACGTGCTTAAACATTTGTAAGTTTTGTACATATTTACATAATATTTAGCTTTTACAACAACGCATGTTTCATACAATGAAAAAATTTCTTAAGTGTATGAGTGTAATAATTTATTTAGACGGCCTCGGTTATCTTGCTGTTTAGCACACCGCTTTACATCCGATGGTAGCGGGTTCGGTTCCTCGCAAGGCACAAACATTGTATTCATGAGTATAATTGTTTGTATCGGTCTGGGTGTTTACTATCTGTAATATGTATGTATTTAAAAAAAAAATATTTCTATATATTTGTCTCAGTTGTCTAGTACCCGTAACACAAGCTATAGCTAGCTTAACTTTGGTCTAGATGGCGATGTGTGAATTGTCCTGAGGTTATTATTATTAATTTATAGTAAACTAATTGTTGCCCGTCACTTCGTCCGCGTAGAAATGAATTTTCTATACGTTACTAGCTGTCCCGGCAAAAGTTGTTTTGCCTTAAAATTAAAAATAAAAATTTAGGGGTGGACTACCCCTAACATTTAAGGGGATGAAAAATAGATGTTGGCCGATTCTCAGACCTACGCAATACGCTCACAAAATTTCATGAGAATCGGTCAAGCCGTTTCGGAGAGTATGGGAACGAAAACTGTGACACGAGAATTTTATATATAAGATGTAACGGGATACCGTGATAACATTATTTACGAGTTTCCGATATTTCGACACTATTACAAACGTTCTCGTCACGGGTCGACCCGTTTACACCAGTGTAAGGACAAGTATTGTTATTTTAACAACTGCGAAAACAGTTTCAAACTAATTTTTACTACTTTAATATCATTGGGCTCTCTAAAATATGGTCGAGCGCAGTGATGGCTGGCTCATACGTCATACTCGTAAACGAGTGCTGCTTGTAAGAACTGGTTTGCTCTAATCACTACGACTGTTTCAATCCTATTGTATACTTAATATCTGACCCTAATAAATTTGTGCTAGTTGGTAGTTTGTATTCGCAGTTTTCGAATTGGAAATGTAAAGTTACAATGATTATTTAAAAGAGCAACACGCAAGTTTCTTGATCGTTCTTCATGTGATGAGACAGCTTTCCGAATGAGCGGCAGATTAAAATAATGATAACTATGACTATTCAAAAGTGCTTAAATTAAGTTTATTTGAATGAATTTTCTATTCTATAAAACAACTTTTTTCGGTAGTTCTCCATTTTGAATGTAGCAACCCTATGACAGCAGCTGAGAGTTATCCAAAAACAGGATATATTTTGGCACGACCCCGGTGCATCTGTCGCATCACAATAATTGGATGACGGACGGTTTCAATCCCAGAAGTTCATCGTTGATTTACGACTAAATTAAAAAATGTTTGATGTTGCCAAAATATTTGAAAATCGAGGGAAACGACCTTATTTTCTTAAATTGTTTTTTTATGGCAAAAATATTGCAGTATGCACTGAGCAAATAAATATTGCGCTTTAAAGCAATATCATATTGAAAATATCAACAAACAAATTTAATTACAAAGGAAAGTGTGAAATGAGTCATGCCGTTATAGCTCACTAACTGTCCTGCGTAACTTCGTCTGCATCACACTTACTTGACACTATATTTAGCTAAATTTACATAATATCTTTTTAAATTAGAGCCTATGTGTTATTCTAATATATAAACTAAGCTGTATTGCTGTATTTCATCAAAATCCATCCAGTAGTTTTTGCGTGAAAGAGTAACATACGTCCATCCATCCATACTCAAAAACATTCGCATTTTTGTCATTAGTAAAATAAATTAGATTTCAAACGGAGAGAGAAGACCAACCAGAGGTCAAACTGACATGGTACATGATTAGCAATGGGGTTGTTAGTCCACATTACCAACAACCCCCTTCCTCCCCTTAAGAATAAGTTGTCAGTCTCCTCTTATGACCTCTCCATTCATCATCATTCTAACTTAAGTACAGTTTGTAAAGCTAACTATTCAGCGGGCGAAGTTAATGAGACCCAGAGGTATAATACCCAGGAAGATAACTTTGAACAAAGTCCAAATTGGTAAATATCGAAGAATTTTGAACGTACCAATACTATCGAAATAATTAAACTTTACGAGATTAAAACCTACGAACTTAATGTACCGTATTTATAATCCAAAGTTGCTGCACAAACTACTAACTACTCTTGTAGTGTAGTAATACTACTACCAGCAACTGTAGTGTAGTGATACTACCACGAGATGAAGCCAGAGATGTTAAACGTTCATTAATCGTTCACGTAATTCCAGAATCATGCCAAATTATCACAAGCAATTTGATGCGCGCTCGCAATTTCCAAGAGTAT